GGTCACCGCTCGTTCTCTTACATTCCAAGGAATGAAGTGCTATCCTGGCCAACATCTCCCTATGACTCAGGCCTACTAGTCTTGGTGACATCCTCATAAATCATCTTTGCATACTTTCCAGTTTAACTATGTCTTTTCTATAACACGGTGGCCAAAACTGTACAGAATACTCAAAATGCAGCCTCACCAATGACTTGTAGAATTGTAACGTAATGTCCTAACTCCTATACTCAATTCCTTGACCAGTGAAGGCCAGCATGCTAAATGCTTTCTTCACCACCCTGTCTACCTGTGATGTCACTTTCAACAAACTATGTACTTGTACTCCGAGGTCATTCTGTTCCACAACACTGCTCAGGTCCTTACCATTCACTGTACAAATCCTACCTTGACTTGACTTTCCACCTCACACTTATCTGTATTAAATTGTATTTGTCAATTCTCAGTCCATTTCCCCATCTGATCTAGATACCTCTATAATTTTTGATAAGCTTCCTTGCTATCAATGATACTTCCTAATTTTGTATCATCCGCAAATTTACTCACCATGCCTTGTACATTTACATTCAGATCATTTATGTAAATAACGAATAAAAAAATGTCCCAGCACCGATCCCTGTAGCACACCACTGGGCATAGCCTTACAGTCTGAGAAACAACCTTCAACCATCACCCTCTGCTTCCTATCATCGAACCATTTGATTCCCATTAGCTAGCTCTCCCTGGATCCCTTGTGACCTAACCTTCATGACCTGCCTGCTGTGTAGGACCTTGTTAAAGGCCTTACTAAAGTCCATATAGACATCATCCACTTCCCTAACCTCATCGATCCTCTTGGTTACCTCTTCGAAAAAATCTAAAAGATTTGTCCGACATGACTTCCAGTTCACAAATCCATGCTGACTATTCCTAATCAGACTTTATAATCCAAATGTTTAATGATCCTGTCCCTCAATATCCTCTCGAATAACTTTGCCTACCACTGATGTCAGGCTCACTGGCCTGTAGTTCCCTGGCTTGTCTTTGCTACCTTTCTTAAACAAGGGAACAACATTGCTACCCTCCAGTCTTCCAGAACTTCACCAATAGGCTAAAGATGAAGCAGAAATCTCTGCAAGGGCCTCTGGAATTTCTTCCCTGGCCTCCTACAATGTCCAAGGATGGACTTGATCAGGCCCAAAGGGAATAATCCACCTTAATGAGATTTAAGGCTGCAAACACCTCATGTCTGGTAATATGTTTGTGGTCCAAAACATCCCCACTTGTTTCCCGTATTTCCTTTTCATCCATGATTTCTCCTCAGTCTTTACTGAGGAGAGAATATTCATTAAAAATGAAAAGATGGAGGAATCTCCAGTGGCTCCAGTAAACTGTCCATGTGAACTGTCGTCAAAACGTAATATTCCTTTCCTTGAGTTCTCTGGCCGCTATTTCTTTCTCCACAGTAACAACTGATGGAAAATATTCCTTTAATATCTCTCTCATTTCCTACAGTTCAACACAAAGATGACCTCTTTTATCTTTACAGAGCGTTGCTTGCTCTCGAGTTGCTCTCTTGCTCTTAGTGCACTTGTAGAATCTCTTTGGATTATCCTTAGCCTTATCTATCAATGCAATTTCATATCCCCTCATTGCCTTCCTGATCCCCTGCTTAAGAATGCCCCTACACTGGTTATACTGTTCAAGAGATTCATTTGAACCCAGTTGTTTACATGTAATATGACTATTTTTTATTTTAGCCTAAAACATGATATCTTTTTCATCCATTGTTCTCTAATCCTACCAGCCTTACCTTTCACTCTGATAGGAAATTAATGACTCTCAAAAGTGTCATAATGAGAGTTCAAAGCCTCCCACTTATCAGATATCCCTTTACCTGCAGTCTATTCCATTCAACTTTTGGAAGTTCTTGTCTTATACCTTAGAATTTGCTTTACTCCAATTAAAAACGTTTAACTTCTATGGAAGGCTTATCCTTTTCCATGACTGTTTCAAAGCTGACAGAATTATTATCACCAGACCCAAAGTGTTCCAAAAATGTCACCTCAGTCATTTGCTCTGGTTTATTATCCAAGGGGAGCTCAAGTTTTTTTTGTTTTTTTTTTGTCTTTCTTTAGGAGCAACATTGACTTATTGATAAATGTGTTGAAGAAAATTTTCTTTAACAAATTATCCAACATCTAAACTTTTAACACCATGCAGTCCCAGTCAATGTTAGAAAAATTATAATCATCGACTGTCACAACCTTGTTATTCCAAGATATATCTGCAATCTCCCTACATATTTATTCCTCAGTTTCCCTCTGACTATTGGGGGGCCTTTAGGACAATTCCATCGTATGATCATTCCTTTCTTATTTCTAATTTCAACCCATATATTTTCACTGGACGCTTTTTCAGAAATCTCTTCTAGTTAGAGAAGTGATGTTTTCCTTAATAAAAAAAAAAACAGCACTCCCTGTTCTCTTTTGCCTCCCTTTCTATCCTTCCAATAACGTCTGAAACCCAGAACATTAGTATGGGCAAAATATCTTGCAGGCTGTGTATAATGTAAGGAAATGTGAAATCATTCACTTTGGCAGGAAGAATAAATAACAGCACCATATTGCTTAAATGCTCAGTGACTGCAGAATGCTGAGGTGCAGAGGGATTTAGGGTTTATAAAGTATGAGTTTCAAAGTTAGAATGCAGATACAGTATGCAGTCATAGGGCCATTCGGCATGGAAACAGACTCATCAGTCCAATTGTCTGTGCCGTCCATGTTGCCAAACTAAACTAATTCCATCTTCCTGCTTGTGGCCCATATCGCTCTAAACCTTTCAAATTCATGTACCTACCCAAATATCTTTCAAGTGTTGTAACTGTACTCGCATCCATCGCTTACTCTGGCTATTCCTGAGCGCAATCTACGTTAAAAAAAAAAGAACAAGTTGCCCCTCATGTCATCCTTTAAATCTTAATGCTCTCACCTTAAAAATATGTCCCCTAGTTTTGAACTCCCCCACCTGAGGAAAAAGACCTTTAATATTCACCTTATCTATGCCTGCCATGATTTTATAAACCTTTATAAGGTCAAACATCAAACTCCTAACTTCCAGTGAAAAAATGTCCCAGCCTATCCAGCCTCCTTTTTTATAACTCAAACCCTCCATTCCCAGCAATATCCTAGTATTTTTTTTTTCTGAACCCACTCCAGTTTAATAATATCCTTCCAAAAACAGGACAACCAGAACGGCGCACAGTACTCCGGAAGAGGCCTCACCAAAATCCTTTACAACCTCAACATATCTTCCCAACTCCTGTACTCAAAGGCCTGAGCAATGAAGACAAGTGTGCTAAATGCCCTCTTAGCCACCGTGTCTATCTGTGACCCAAATTTTAAACAATGATGGACCTGAAACCCAAAGTCTTTCTGTTCTACGACACAACCCAGAGCCCTACCGTTAATTGTATATTCCTGTCCTTGTGAAGTATTGCATTTTGCTAAAACAAACATTTATCCAAATAAAATTCAATCCGCCACTCCTCAGCCCATTGACCCAATTGATCAAGATCTTTCTGTGTCACAGATAAACAATAGGCTATATCCTTTCTTATGATAGGAATTAAGCATCAACGTAAGGATGTTCTGTTTCATTTGCACAGAGAAGGGGAGCGACCAAATCTCGAATACCATGTGCAGGTTTTAGTCTTGTGTACATACATTCAAAGTGGTTCAGAGGAAATTTGCTGGATTGAAACCTGGAATTTGTGGGTTGTCTTAAGGAGGATAGGTTGGCCAGGCAAAAAGGAAAAGGATTAGGCTAGAACTGCTGATTAAAACAGCAAAGTAATATGATGTGAGCCAGGATATAGGGTGTGGTGAAGTAGAATCTGTATGGCTTGAGCTTAGAAACACTAATGGACAGAAAAAAATATTAGTGTTGCATATAGACCCCAAGCTGCATTAAAATTGGGGAAGGCATTAGAATGGGATTTAGAGATAGAAGGAATAAAGTTATGGCTGTAATTATGGGTGCCATCAACCTACATATAACTTGAGCAAATCACAACCGTAGCAATACGATAGAGGAGGAAATCGTAGTGTGCATATGGTACAATTTTATGAATCAATACATTGAAGAAGCAGATGGGTATTGGCTAATGAAGAAAGGAATAATTGACGATCCAGTTGTGCATGGGCCATTAAGGAAGAGTGACCACAATAGGACAGATTTCTTCATTAAGATGGAGAGTGATATTGACTTGATAGAGGTGTACAAAATTACAGAGGTATAGATGGAGTGGACAGCCGGAGACTTTTTCATAAGGTGGAGGTAGTTATTATGAGGGGGCATAGTTTTAAAGTGAGTGGAGGTAGATATAGGGGAGAAGTCAAAGGTAGGTTCTTTACTCAGAGTGGTAGGGGCGTGGAATGCATTGCCGGAGAGGGTAATGGAGTCGGCCTCATTAGGGGCATTTAAGTGGCTATTAGACAGGCATATGGATGATAGTCTAAGATAAGGGTGGAGGTGAGATAGACCATAGGTTTAGGGTAAAATTTTGGCACAACATCATGCGCCGAAGGGCCTGTACTGTGCTGTACCATTCTATGTTCTATGTTGTTTCTGAGACTAGGGTCCCATAATTAAATGAAACAAGTTATAATGGTATGAGGCATGAGCTACTTGTGATAAATTGTGGATCAGTATTTAAATGGGTGATCAGAGATGGGTAATGGTAAACATTGAAAGAGGACGTGGTAAGCTGTGAAAGTTATTCATCCCAGTCTGGCATAAGAATAAAATGGGAAACATGATCAAACCACGGCAGGGAAATGAACGGGTATTGAAATTAAGGAAACAGCATACAAATTAGGTAAATAAAACAACAGACCTGAGGATTGGGAACAGTTTAGATTTCAGTAAAGGGATTTAATAAAAACTAGAATATAGAACATGAGAGTACGTGTGCAGAGACCAAACAAACCAATAGCATTTTCTTTTTCATTCATTCATAGAATGTGGGCATCACTGGCTCGGCCAGAATTCATTGCCCATCCATGATTGTACAGAGGGCTATTAAGACTCAACTGCATTGCTGACTGGCTGGAGTCACATGTAGGCCAGATCAGGTAAGGATGACAGTTTCCCTTCCTAAAAGACATTTGTGTGCCAGATGGGTTTGTCCTGATGAACAACAATGGTTTCATGATCACCATTAAACTCTTAATTGAAAATTGATAGTAAAAGATTAGTGAAGAAGAGTACAGGATCTCCTCACAATCAGAAACAGAGAAATTATAATAGGGTACAAAGTGATGGTAGAATTGACAACTCTGGCTCCTGTTTTGTATGTTCTCGACTCCTATCAAAATGCATCAGCTCAGCAGGAATGGTGTATTCCCTGGAATTTGGAAGGATGAGGGCTGATTTAATTAAAATTTTCACATATTAATTGAAGCTGTTCAGGGGATAGAAAGGAATTAACGCACTGGGTGGATGAAGTGAGAGCTCAAATACCCTCCTCGACCCCAGTAATCAGACGAGATTCTAGTTTCTTTGTTCTTTTGTTTACTTGAGCATACGAATGAGGAATAAGAGAAGGCCACTCGGCCCCTCTGCGACTCAATAAGATCACAGCCGATCTGACTTCAACCTCAGCTCCATGTGCCTGCATTTCCCTCAACATCTTTCATCGTCTTGGTCATCAAGAATCTGTCTCCCTCTGCCTTAAAAAAAAATTAAAGATTCTGCATCCACTGCCTTTTGACGAAGGGAATTACAAGGATTCACAACCATCTGAGAAAAATGTTCCTCACCATTTCAAATGGACTCACCCTTACCATTAAAAAATGGCCCTCAGTTCTAGATTCTCCCACAAGAGGGATCATGTTTTCAACATCCACCTGGTCAGCTCCGTCAGCGTCATTTATGTTTCAATTTAGTTTCTTTCTCTTCTCTAAACTGCAGAGCATACAGGCCCACCCTGTCTAGCCTTTCCTCAAAAGGGAATCCACTCATTCTAGGTATTAATCAATTAAATCTCCTCTGAAATGCTTCCAACATATTAACAACCTTCTGTAAGTACAGTGACCAGAACTGAACACAGTATTCCAGATGCAAGTCTCACCAGTACAACGGGGGATTGCAGGGATCTGAAGGTGGCCCGCGAATTCCCACGTGCTTACAGTAATGTTTTTTCAGCAAGCTTAGGTCATTTACATTTACCCAATTACAGACTGACACAGGTTATGGTCAGACAGTTGTACAGTTTGTATTGTTACACAGACAGCATTGTTGTGGCATCACTCAAACCCCCAACTGTGCTGGCTCTGTCGAAATAATGACTGGCCCTGCAGCCAGTTCCGGCAGCCTGTTCTGTCATGTATTTTTCAACTTCTGTCCTTTCAAGGACATGAATGATCCAAGTGGGTTTTTGACAATCCGGTAACTTTCTTTCCACTTTTGACTGTTTTAAATTTATTTTCCAGGGAATTGGAGAGGCAGAATTTACAGACGTCACTCAAGTCAAACATTGGATCAAGAGCTGCCAGTAACACTCAATTCTCAGGAGCTTTGAACATGGAAGGAAAAAGGCATCGTTCACAGTGAAGAGAAACCATACATGTGGTCTGTGTGGACAAGCCTTCAGTCGTGTGGCCTGTCGATATGTAAATGCAGTGAAAACAGGGTGACAACAATGACATCAAACAGCACATGCTTTGTAATATCATGGTCATGGATCTCAGTTTGAGTTAAGTAAGGGCCACTCAGCTCCTGATCTCCTTACATTCTTGGTGCAAACATGGACCAAACAGCTGAATTCCAAATGTGAGAGTGACTATCCACTATCTTAAGGCTCCATTTGACAGAGCATTGTATCAAGGAATCGTAGCAAAGCTAAAGTCACTGGGAATCAGAGAAAATTATTGTTCCTGTGATAGCCAGTTTTTGAAAAGATTGCACCTTCCGAACTGAGTAAATCGAAACAAGGTGAATTTATTCAAACTTATACCACATAAATGCAGAAGAGGCCTCTAAGTTTACCTCGGAGACGCTCTACCATTGACAGCTCAAAACAGCATATTAAGACATTTACACGTCAGAATGATGACATGTAACATTGACATATAATTTATTTTATACCAATCATTAACCTCAAAAACAGAATGCTGTTAAGTTTCTTACAAAGTTCTGGGTCCTCTAATTTCAAAAGAACTTCCACTTCCACATTATCTTCCAAGATTCTCTATCCCCACCATCAGCTGGCAGCACGCAAGCCTTCCCTTATGAGTAATACTTACATGACTATGTGAAGCTAAACAGATGGTCTCTGAACCTGAAGTAACTGCTGACTGTTCACTGTTATGGATATGCAGTTAAACTACCTGAGCCACAATAACTGTGTCCTTATATGGTTGTATTTGACTCTTGATCCTGTGCTGAACTTCTTGTCCAAGCTGATTCCTACTTGTTCTGTGTTTTAATGTACCATTCCTTTCCTTTTATATGCCCCTTGTGAACTCTCCTTTCCTCTTTATCCTACTTCGTCTTGGTTGGATAATACTGAATGCAGAGGAAGGTGCTTGTGATTGCAGGAGGCCTGGTTTCTCTGTGGTGCGGGTGTCCTTGTCTCTATCCAGATTGGGCAATCAGGTGAATCGAGTCCATGCAGATAGAAGGCCCAACATTCCCTGTTGTGAATGTGTTTTTATTCTTCCACAGGATGTGGGTATCACTGGTCAGGACGGCATTTGTTGTTTATTCCGAATTCACCTTGAACTGATGGCTGAGGACAATTAGGGGTCAAACACGTTTTTGTGGGGCTGGAGTCACTTGTATGCCAAACTGGGTGAGGACTTTCCTCCCGAAGGGACATTAATGAATCGGATTTCAGGAAATTAAAGTCATGGTCTCTGTTTCTGAAATCAGTTTTACACTCCAGATTTTATTAATCGAATTTAAACTCCAGCAGCTGCCCTGTCTCAGTTTCCAGGGATTACTAGGAGATATATCACACTACACTGCCATCTCCCTGTTGCATTGCCTTATTGTAGAGAATAACTTTCACTGTTCAGATCATCCCAGAGTGACAGAGAACAGGAGAAGGCCATTCGGACCACCAATTCCAGACCGTTAATTCCTGGTGACAAAGTAATTGAATGACAGTGAAAAGCATCAGCTGGTGTGTGTTTGCACAAAGTCTGTGTCCATGTCGGGATAAATGTGGTTTAATGCAGATTGAAGCGTTAACTGGGAGCAAGAAGCTGATGCAGAGACAATGTGAGCAAAATTAGCTTAGCTGCTACTACTAATGTAGCAACTATCAGCTTGTTGGTGTAAACAGGGGAGGATGGTTTCAATCCAGTAACCTCTGGGTGATGGGCCCAGCACACTCCCACTACGCCACTCTGCCATTTCCTACCAGGTAACCCACAATTGATATACATTGTTACTTCTTTCTTGCTTTTGAATGAGAACACACTTATTGACAGGCTCTCCTGGCTATACAATTCCACCGTGTCACATCACTCAGAATGTGACAGCCAGAAACACACACACACACACACGCACACGCAGCAATGTACCATTAACATACACTCAATATCGAAGGTGCCAAACAGATCACCAACTCACTCAGATGGACAGACCTGAACTTGACAATTTATTTGACAAATCAACAGTTACATTCCTCGTTCTGAAGAGCTCTGAAGAAGGATCTCTGACCCGGGAACGGTAACCATGCTTTCCCTCCACAGACCCTGTCAGACCTACTGAGTTTAATCAGCAATTTCTGTTTTTGTTACATTCCTCATTGTTGATTGTCTATGGGTTGTAACATTCCCTAGATTGTGTACGATGACGTTCAAAATCATCTGAACGTTATCATTCCTCATTCTCTCTTTATCATCCTTTTCTCGCCCTTCTGCCTTCCAAAATTGCACCCCACAGCTTGTAGATTTTTTTTCATTTCTCCCTGTGGCATCAAACACGTGAAATTTCGCCTGGATCTGATGAAAAGGTCGTGGATATGAAATAAGAATCCAGTGTTAAAAGACACAGAGATAAACATAAAAAGGGTGAATTTAACAGATGGAGAGAATCTGTCGGGAGATGGGGGAACATTTGTGTCTTGTCCTTTGCACATCTCACCTCTGTTCAGCATTCTGAGGGGTTCCATGCATTTTTCGTCTCGCACATATTACTGCAGAGAGTTTTGCAGCCTCATACTACAACCATCGATTTTAGGAACAGAAAGAGACCATTCAGACCATCAAGTCTTCTCCGCCATTCAATGAGATTTGTCTGATCTGAAAATCCTGAACTGCACTTTGTTGCCTTTCCCTAGAAACCTCGATAGCTTTACTGGTTAACGATCTGTCGATCTCGGCCTTAAATATACTTAATGGCCCAGCCACAACTAACCTCTGCTGTAAAGAATTCCACCAATTCACAACCATGTGAGAAAATAATTTCTTCCTCATTTCTGGTTTAAATGCATAACCCCATTCTGATATGAGGTACTCTGGTCCGAGACTGCCCTAGAAGGGAACCAACCTTTCTGAATCCAACCCCTTAATTCTCCAAAAAACCTGTTTGTTTCAATAAGAAGCAAGTTTTTTTTTGTAGTACAGTGTCTGAGCAGACAAAGGCAATGAATTTCAGGGCTTCCTTCCATTTGGTTTCATTTCTGATGTGAAACTCTCACTGACTTTGACAGATCTCTCTTTGCTGTTTTACTGTCAGGAATTTGTGTTCATTTTAAGATTTTGTACATGAACTACAAATCCTCATTCCTTGACTGGAAACCAAACTCAGCAGTGAGAGGTTTGAATCCCAACTACGAAAGCACCAAGGAAGGTGCATGCAATGCTTGCAACCTTTCTTGTTGACATTGCTTTTTTGCCTTTTTATTATTCAGTTGAAAAATGATAGAGTAACTGAGTTTTTAGCAGCATGGAGAGAGGCTCTTCGGCCCATTACATCATTGTCAGTCATCAAACATCTCGCTTCCAAACCCAGTTTCCAGTACTTGACCCAAGTGCCCATCTTAATAATTATTCCATGTCTTGAGGGCTTCAGTGGAACAAGAACAGCTCTTTAAAACAATGACAGGAAAAATTGTGGTTTGCTGGAACACAAAATGTATACCTTCCTCCTTGAAGACAGTTCTGAAAGCCAAAATCTTTCTCGGAGCATTTGTCAGTTTTTCTCTTATTGCCAACAGCGTGGGTTTAAATCTCACACCGTCTGAAGTTACCGCTAACGACTCTTTTTCAATCTCTCTGTTCATCTGAGGTGTGGTGTCCCTCGGGTTAAACCATCACCAGTTGTCTCTTTCTGAGAAGAAAGCAGCCTTGTAGTTCAGATGGAGTATGGCCTGACCCTACCCTTTAATATGCAGTTCAGTGTCAGACTTTGTTATATCCCTGGGATGCACAAGTGACGCTTTATTCTTTCTTATATGTACTGTGCATATTAGTGGTCCATAGGAGACAAATAGAGAGATTGCTTGTACACATAGAAGCAAATAAATTTAAATTTGACAATGGCTGCCAGGTAACCTAGAATGCCGAATGATAGTGAACATTTGCTATACACAGAATTGCTCATCATATGTCTGCTCAGTATTTTCCCCGCCTACCCACGGTATGGAGCATGCACAGTGGTAAATATGACAGATGCCGTATAAAGAATCTATCCGGCCCCATTTCATAACACGGGACAAATCGATATGCGACATGCCCTGGTGTTAGCTGCCACCTTTGGAGGAGGCAAAGAGAAACACGGTGCATGTGTGGTTATCCTGGGCCAGGGGAGAGCATGTCATAAATGTCTCTCCTGACCAACAGGGATGGAGTTTATAAAGTCCTTTTACTGGGAGTAAGGGTAGGGGGACTTATACAAGGCAACTCCAAATCTAAGAAATACTTGCTTCTTCTGACATTCTGTCCCGTACTGACTGAGACAGCTTTTGTAAATTCTTTTTACGGCATGTTAGAAAAGGATTTGCAGATCAGAAACTCAAAACCAAATGACACAGCAAGATCTTAGCATGCCACTTTATTCTTTATTCATTCAGCACTGGATATTATTGGTCTTTGAATGTAAGTACTGAGTCAAATAAAAGTAACATAAAGTTCCTTCCTTACATCTCCCAGTAACTATTGCCCAATATCTTAAATCTGTGTCTCTAATAATTTTACTACCAGTGAAGAGGAACAGCTGCTCTTTATCTATCTTATGTAAATCTATCATAAACCTAGACACCTTAGTCAAAGATCACCTCAGTCTCCTTTGCTTTGTGCAGAACAACTTCAGTTTCTCCAACCTGACCTTACAACTATTCGCCCTCAGTTCTTGAACCATTCTGATCAATCTCCTTTCAATCAGTCCACAGACCTCACATCCTTCGTGAAGATCAACTTTTTGTGCAGAACCGAATGCTCTGTGTTGAAGTGGGTGATATTATCACACACGGACAATTGCTCAGTGACATCACCCTGATTCCCGGGTATTTCCTAACTGTGGCTTTCCTCTGACACCAATGCTTCTGATATCTTTTGAGCTGCAGATTCCAGCATTCGATTTTAAAGTTGAAGACCATAAAATTATTTCAGTATTTTTAACCTGTAATGTAGAAATTTTGCTTCACATGCTGTTCTCAGTCATCTGACTCTGGTGTTGGTGCAACCCATTTCGTCGCTCACCTAATATCTCATTATGTAACTGGTGTCAAAAGTTGCTTTAGAAAAGTCCTGAATCAGTGATCATCCGTTCTGGTTCATCTCTGCTCTCCCGGATCAACTCTCTGTCATTCTCTAACCCCCTCTGTCTCCAATAATTGTTTATAACCAACTTCGGTATTTTATTCAGAAAATCTGAAGAAGGGTCCCAACTCAAAACGTCAGCTTTCCTGCTCCTCTGATGCTGCCCAGCCTGCTGTGTTCCTCCAGCTCCACACTGTGTTATCTCTGACTCCAGCATCGGCAGTTCTTACTATCTCTGAGTAGGTATTTTATTGTTACTGCCATTGACTCTCTAAATTTGGTGTTTACAGCTGAACATTGCCTGACCATTTGCTGCTGGCAATTACCTTCACTTAGGAGCTCCCACAGTGCTGTTGGGGAAGGAGTTATTCACCAAGTGATTATGAAGGGACTGTGATACTTGTCCAAATCAACGACAATTAATTTATATCAATATAGGGCCTTTCACATAATCTGTTCCTCAGGAATGTTATAATGCAACTTTTGACCCCAGTCACATAACGAGATATTGGGGAGGTGAAAAAATGTTTAATGAGCAAATACGTCGTTTTCAAGGAGTATCATAAAGCACAAAACTGAGTCGAGAGAGGGAGAGGTTTAGTGAGGAAATTTCACAGTTTGAGGCCTTGGCAGTTAAAGGTTAAGGGCACCAAATGTAGGACAGTTAAAATCTAGAAGGCTCAGGAGGTTGGAATTGGAGGTAATGCAGATATCTCGAAGGGTATTTTTAAAAATTCATTCTTGGGGTGGGGGTGTGCATCACTGACTGGGTTAACATTTACTTGCCAGCCCTAATTGCCCATGAGAGGGCTGGAGGCTGGCAGACATTACATAGATAGTCTCCTCTCTATCTATCAAGAGATTTGAACAGAATGATGAAAAGTTTAAAATTTAGCTGCGTGAGCACGGGGAGTGGTCGGTGAACAAACCTTGGTGTGAATACTCACACGGGCAGCAGAGTTTAGGATGACCTCAGGATTTCATCACTTGGTGAATAACCTGTAACTACTTCCATTACAGCATTGTGGGAATTTGTGTCGGAAGCTAAAGCTGCTAAGGCATCAGCACATGGTGGGGAGAATGGGCAGTCATAAAAATTTCATTCAGGTACAGTTAATGTAAGGAACAATAAGACAATAAACAGAACTCCCACAC